TTCTCCTTCCCTGACTCTGTTTTGGTAACTTTGTTTCTGTACCAGATCCACACTGTTCATTAACTTCTCCATTTTAGGGTATTTCAGCTTCATACAGCAATAGTAGCAATAATATTCTGCTGTTTTATTACACGTTTATCCATCGACTATCTGTTCCTTTGGCCAGACTTCGTTGGCCTTATCTCAGAGCTCTGTCTCAGTACATCTTTTAGTGACTGTTTTCCCACATATCAAATTAAGAATTTGTTAATCAATTCACTAGTTCACATTTGAAGGTGAACAGCTTATAATGTTTGTGACAATATTGGATTTCTTTATTTCCAAATGAGTGATTTTTATTATTTTTAATTTTTTAATTAATATACTTTTCTTGAAGCCCTGGCTGGTTTTGCTCAGTGGCTAGAGTGTCAGCCTGGAGACTGAAGAGTCCCGGGTTGGACTCCAGTCAAGGGCATGTGCGCAGGTTGTGGGCTCGATCCCCAGTAGGGGGTGTGCAGAAGGCAGTCAATCAATGATTCTCTCATCATTGATGTTTCAATCTCTCCCTCTCCCTTCTTCTCTAAAGTCAATAAAATATATATTTTTAAAATATGTATTTTAAGCATAAAACAAAATAGTTTATCATAAGCTACTGGGTAACTCACAGACCCAGATGCAATGAGGGTTTCACAGACAGAGCACCACCTTGGGCACCAACACGTGAGTTCTGCCTCACCTCAACTGCTGACTAGCTGTTCCATCTCTGGATACGTTACATATTATAACCTGCATGTTCTTCAGGCAAACATGGTGAATAAAACCTGCTGTGTCTAGCCCTAACCAGTTTGGCTCAGTGGCTAGAGTTTCGGCCTGTGGACTGAAGGGTCCTAGGTTCAATTTCGGTCAAGGGCATGTACTGTGGTTGCGGGCACATCCCCAGTAGGGAGTGTGCAGGAGGCAGCTGATCGATGTTTCTCTCTCATCGATGTTTCTAACTCTCTATCCCTCTCCCTTCCTCTCTGTAAAAAAATCAATAAAATATGTTTTAAAAAAATTGCCTTGTCTACATTTCAGAACTACTGTGAGGGCAAATGAGAGCAAGCCCTTTAAAAAGTTTAAAAAAAAACTGTATACATGTGTATCATCATTATCAAGTGATTTAGGATATTTGAGCACATATACTTCACTCCAAAGCCATATTACTCAGCTTTGGGATGCCACTAGGACCCCATCGGTCCTCTCCATTACCTAACTGTGCATCACGAACATTAAATTGCCCATGGCAATGGTCTGAACGGAAAGCCTGGTAACTCCAGCAGTTGTGTTTGCTAAGCTTGTCCTAAAACCATCTTCCATGTGACTTCAGCCTCTCTCCTGTGAGTGACCTGTCCTCTTCTCGGGGCTCACTCAGCTTGTCGACATGGTAGCTTGTTCTTATCTCTGGGGTCTACACTGCGCTGGCCTCAGAGCTTGGCTTCTTCCCCGAGAGTCTTCCCTAAGCAGCATCCCAAGGGCTGACACCTGGAGCCTTGTGTTTAGAGTCACCGTCCACCAAGGCTCCATGCATGGTTTAGGCATTGATTAGGTACATCATCAGTGAGCTTTAAAATTCAGTGAGCTTTAAATTTTCCTTATACAGTTGACCCTCCAACAACACAGATGTGAACTGTGCAGGTACACTTATTTTTTTTTTCAGTGAATACTGTAAATGTATTTTCTTTTATGATTTTCTTAGTACTTCCTTTTCTATAACTTACTTTATTGTAAGAATACATATACAAAATATGTGTTAATCAACTGTTTATGTTACCAATAAGGTTCTTAGTCAACAGTAGGCTATTAGTAAATGTTTAAGGAGTCAACAGTTATACTTGGATTTTCAACTGCATGAAGGTTGGCCCCCCTAACCCCCACATTGTTTAAGGTCAACTGTAATTCCATTTTTTGCATATATATATATATATATATATATATATATATATATATGCAATATATATATAATCTTTTCTTCTCACTGCCTACCATTAGAAGAACACAGCATTGTGATACGAGGAGGCCTTTAACGGGGTCCTGATCTCGTTAAGAAGAATTTTAATGTCCCTGGAACCAGGTGTGTGATGCCAGGTGGAGTGATTTTTCCCATTTCCAGTTTGTCCAGAGGCCTTTCCTGGCAGAACCTCTAGCCCATGAGACTTCCTCTTCGTCTTGCACGAAGGGTACAGTTTGGTTCTGACGCATGGATTCTCGAAGCCGCTGTGCGTCCCCACAATCTGTTATGCTAAATCACACCTGGTGTCTGCACAGAGAAGGCGCTGGCAAGCATCCTGGCCGCTGGGACCCAGGCCTCTGACTCTGACGCCAGAACACGGCAGTGTTGCAGAGAGCCTTCCGAGAGCCTGGCTCACCGGCACGGGAAATTAACCTGCTTGTTCTCACGTTAAATGGTTTATGAAAATTTACTGGGCGCAGAAAGAGGGAAGAAAACCCAAGTGGTTCCGCAGTGAGCCTGCCTGGCATCAGTGAAGGCATGAAGCCGCCGAGAAAGTCAACCTGAAGAGCTGGCAAGAGGAAGAGGTGTAAAATGCAATGAAAATCAAGTGTGGTGCAGCCATTGCATTGTTTTATTAGCATTTTGTTGAGGGAGACATTTAATTATAGTAGATCCGTGTTTTTGAGCTAGGCCAGATGACACTGGGCTCTGCCACCTTCTCCACGGTACCCAAATCCAGAGGAATTGTGGCTTGCTCCAATAGACCACAAAGAGAAACCTCCTTCTGTGTGGCTTGGACTCTTCCCTGTAACCAAACCATAAAAGGGCAGAATCTGCCAAATGTACATAATACTCTGATGGTCATCATCACCCTCCATTCTTTTCCACATTATATTTTTCTTCTTTTTCCTTGTTGATTTTAGAATAAAATAAAATAGGTAAAGAATACAGTGCAGAAGTTCTACTTTTTAAAATACCTGTAAATTTGCCATCTAAAATAACTTTTTTTAAGTACCACTTTCCTTAGGAAATAATTAGGAAGCAAGACAAACAACAAACCATGAAAAACAAATGATTAGCTCCTATAAAATGAGGTTGTGAATATATATATACGTATATATGTATATATATTTATATTTATATATATAAACATACATATATATATTTGAGCAACAGAAATAAAAATATGCAAAGAGAGAACCAACTGGTAATATTTTGCAGAGAATTTTTAAACTCCTTTTCGTTTTAAAGCTCACCTACCTTCAGAGTAGTTTGGGAGGCTAACAATCCAATTCAGTGTATGCAAGAAACCTTTCTTTACGGTCTCTTTCTGCCGTCACGGAGCTTACTCGGTTACCTGCTTTCTTTCTTCAGGGCTGACAGGAAGGCTGATCAGCACTGAGGAATGTAAAGAATTCTGTGTGGGGGGGGAAATAAAAATAAAAATAAATAAAAAAGAAAAAGAGTTCTGTGTGGTACCTGGCCGGTTTGGCTCAATGGATAGAGCGTCGACCTGTGGACTGAAAGGTCCCAGGTTCGACTCCGGTCAAGGGCACATGCCCGGGTTGCAGGCTTGATCCCCAGTAGGGGGCGTGCAGGAGGCAGACAGTCAGTGAGTCTCTATCATCATCCAATCAGTGATTCTCTATCATTGATGTTTCTATCTCTCTCTCCCTCTCCCTTCCTCTCTGAAATCAATATATATATATATATATATACACACATACATACATACAGGGAGGCCTTGACTTACGAGTGTCCCGACTAACGAGTTTTTTGAGATACCAGCTGTCTCTCGGCTGATTTTTTGCATTGAGTTGACAGAGTAATTTGAGTTAACGAGCTCCTTAATGAGCTCCTTAACAAGCTCAGTCTCAGAACGAATTAAACTCGCAAGTCAAGGCCCCACTGTATGTTTGTGTGTGTGTGTATGTATGTGTGTGTGTGTGTGTGTGTGTGTGTGTGTGTGTATAAATAAAAGAAATCTGTGGGCGACGCTGCCCTGCCCCCAGTATAGCCTCCTCTCCAGAATGAGAGGACAAGGCTTGGCCCTGCAGCCAGCACAAACTCCGGTTTAACTGCAAGGCTATCTGTGCCTCAGCACTAGACATTTCTACTTCTCTCTGTAAGCTTTTACAGCCTCCTACTTACGGAGACAAGATTCTTTGTGTCAGCACCTTGGAGAAGTGTTGCTGAAGCAATTGGCACGCAGACAGGAGCCCCGCGCACGCCAGCCCCTTCTGAACCTACCTGGGTGTGGCCTCGGACGGAAGGGGCCCAACTCGCCTCCAAAATTTGGTGATGGCCAGGGAGACAAATATTTTCCTCCATAGAAGTGAAGAGGCTTTGGCTTAAAAACAAAACAGACAAAAAAACACACCTGATTCTTGATATTTACATTAAGGGGACAAATTTGGATCATTGCTAGCAATGTTCTCAAGCCAGCTTGAGAATTAAAGAAAGTCACAAACTGCTCCGGCCAGGACAGGTGATGCGGATCTGGAACCATGGCAAGGCTGCCTCATTAAATTATGAGCCGATCATTCTTGATTTATTGTTTAAAAAAAGCATGAAAGGCCAGTGGACACAGCCCTGCGTGGGTAATCCGTGGCACCTGTGGCCAACAGCAGTGCTTTCACCCTCAGAAGGAAGAAAGGTAGGTTCCGAGTCCTTTGATGACACTGTTCCCTTTCGCGCTTGTTTATTTTTATTCTCCCACGCAGACTGCAACCCAGCAGGGGGCTTTTAAACCAAAACAGTTAATTACCTCCTCTAACCCAGAGAAGCTGCACAACACACTATAGCTAGTTGCGAGGGAGAGGGCAGCTTTTCTTGGGGCTGTGCTTTGCACCAGGTGAGAAGGGAGGGCAGAGGGAGACCAATTAGAAGGCCCCCGGGAGGGAGGGGGACCAGCATGTACTTGCACGTCTTTCTCATAGCACTGCACTTCGAACCCCCAGGCTCAGAGACCCCTGTGCAAACACCTGTTCCAAAGACAGAGTTGAGTAGCGTTGGGACTAGAGCCCTCTCCTGATAACAGCGCGTGCTTCGCACTCCAGGGATGCCCGTGGGCAGGGCAGTTTCAAGCAGCGAGGAGCTTCTCCACTTAGTGCTCAAGGGACTGCAAGGGACAGACCTGCCAATAAAAAAGGCACTTTCTCCAATGAACTGCAGTGTGTGGCCCACCTCTCCCGTCACCCCTGCCTTCCCCAGGTGGACAGGGCCTGAGCCCTTTGTTCCTAAATTGTGGGCTCACCCCTGCCTGCTTTAGAATCTCCCATCTTTCTGTCCATTTCCTGGCACCAGCACCTTCCCCAGCTAACCTCATATGTCCTGACCATCTGCCATTGCATTCACTCTCTCTTCCTGCCTCAGCTCGGTGCCCATTTCTGGCCCCCCGCTGGGTCCTAACCCTTCTCCTCACCTACTGAAATCTTCAACTCCCCTGCCCCCCATCTCAGCCTGAAGTGCTCCCTCCCACTTCTAACCCCGGGGCCTTATTGTCTGTTATTTATTTCACTTTCGATTCTGTGGGCCTTTCATCACCACAACTAGATGACACATTCCTCTACTGATGTATATAGCAATATAAAGTGATCTCGATATCTTTCCCCACCACTCCCAGCCCCAGCACCTGTGTAGTGATGATTCTGCACTTGATTGATTCCTCTCCTACTGGTTAACATTTTTTAAATGCACCAGACCAGGGACATCAGGCAAAATCTGGGGATGGTGGTCAGGAAATTTTCTTTTCAGAATCACAATCTTAAAGAAAAGAACAAATTCTGTCAGTTATCGAAATGTTTCCAAGTACCTGATGTTTGGTCTTAAGTACGTAAAACACCTACTGAGTGACGGCGTTGTTCGTTGATCCTCTGAATCCTGCCCAGCACCTGGACGTGCTAGTAGGCCCTCCGGGAGAGCACGTCCCAGGAACAAATCTCCTGCTCCTTGTGCCTCTGCTGCCCTGCCAGAAAACAAAAATTACAACATTGCCCCACTGAGGCTGTGAGAACAAGCAATGAGTGAGAACAAAGAAAATAGTACGAGTGGGAAGAACCATGAACTTGCAGACTCCAGAGCTCCACAGACAAATCTGAGCATGGCGGTTATTACTGGCATTGAAAAAATCCTACACAGCTGGCCAGTGTGTCTCAGTGGTTAAGCATTGACCTCTGAACCAGGAGGTCTTGGTTTGATTCCCTGTCAGGGCACATGCCTGGATTGTAGGGCACAGGGGATCATGCAGGAGGCAGCTGATCAATGATTCTCTCTCATCATTGGTGTTTCTATCTCTCCCTCTCCCTTCTTCTCTGAAATGAATAAAAACATATTTTAAAAAGAAAGAAAAAAGGAAAAGTCACCACAAGCCTTTACTTTTTTAAAAGTTGCACACAAAGTGGACCTCAAAGCCGCACTGCTACTTCACAAAGTTAACAAGAAATGTAAAAGGTATAGGCAGCTGTGCTGTGAGGAACATCTTCTCAGCCCTAGCTCAACGCTTCTCTGTGAACTTGAATTTGAGGCCCCTTAGAGGCCATGAGGATGCCTGGCAAGGTTCTCACAAAACACAAGGCCTGTCCCACGCAGCTGAGGACAATCCATCAGGACCAGGTAGGGAAAGGGCAAAAGAAACGAGATGGAGAGTGGGGGAAGGGTAATAGATAGGGCCATGGCAGCAAGAAATCCAAACGCCAGCCCCTTGCCAATCAAGGACTGGCAAACCCCAGTGAAGAGGCTGAAAGTAAGCCCCTTCTTCCCACTTGAGTTTTCTCTTCCCAGAGAATTTTCATTGTATTTTGTTGAATGGTAAAGACTGAAAACACAACATAAAAATATCATAAGCCTCCCTATCTCACAACATATTCAAAAATATATACTCAGAATATACATGGGCCTAAATGCTAGAACTAGAAATAGAGCACTTAAACAAAAACGTAGCTATCCATCTTCATGACCTTGGATTAGGCAGTGGTCTCAAAAAGTGGTTACAAAAGTGTTGGAGGCACCTCTCACTGATGTCAGAGAGGTGTTACAGACAGCTCCCTGAGTCAGTGGGAGAGGGCTGTTCTCAACCTGGAGCCTCGTCTTCTCATATAAATGAATTTATACAGGAGACCTTGACTGAGTTGTGAGAAGCCAACTTATTAAAGCAATTAAAGTGTGCACCTTTATTGAAAAAGCAAACCTATATATCCGGCTTAGGAAGCGCAGACGGGCTCTCTGCTAATCTGAAGAGTGAGTTGGGTGGGGGTCCGAGGCGTTACATACCCTCCTGTCTGTAGGCTTCAAAATTTGTTTGCTGAGTATTTTGGTGCAGATTAATTCTCCAGGTCCCTTCTTTTTACTTTCTTGTGGCCTTCCCAGAATTCATGAGAAGCACCTGGCAACTTGTCTTGCCAAGCCTTGAGACTATTGGCTTTTCTCTTTAGGGAGTAAAACTGCCTTTTTTTTTTTCTTTCTCCTTTCCCCCTCCCTTTCTGCATTCTCTCCTTAGAGAGGTGGATATTTTTTTTTTAACCATTGTCTGGGGAAGATAATGGCTTGTTAGTTACAAGCTGGCTGCACATTGCTCACACTGTTTTAAACTTTACTATCTCAGTTTCCCTATTCCTCCTGCCCTGGAATCCTATAACAAAAGCACAAGCAACAAAAGAAAAAAATAGATAAATTGGACTTAAGCAAAATTGTAACTTTAGTGCTTCATAGGCCACCATCAGGAAAGTGAAATAACAACCTACAGAATGGGAGGAAATATTTGGAAACCATATATCTGATATCCAGAATATATAAAAGGCACTCCTAACTCAACAACAACAAAAAACAACCCAATTCTTTCAAATGGGCAAAGGACTAGACTAGACATTTCTCCAAAGAAGGTGTACTGCTGGCCAATACGCAAACAAAAAGGTGCTCAGCATCATCAGTCGTTAGAGAAGGGCAAATCAAAACCACAATAACATACATGTCACACCCACGAGGATGGCTATTATCTTTGATAACAAGCAAAGAAATAAAATAGAAAATAACAAGGGTTATTAAGGATGTGAAGAAATTAGAAATGTGGTACATTGCTGATGGAAATGTAAAATAATGCAACCGAATTGTGGAAAACAATATAGCAATTCCTCAAAAAGTTGAACATAGAATTACTATATGGCCCAACAACTCTACTCCTAGATATATTTCCAAAAGAATTGAAAACAGAGATTCCAAAAGCCACTTGTATGCTGACATGCATAGCATCATTATTCACAATAACTAAAAGGTAGAAACAAGCCAAAGGTCCATTAATGGATGAATGGGTTTTAAAAATGTAATATAATATATATATATATGAATATTATTAACCATAAAAAGGAATGAAATTTGGATACATGCTACAACTTGAATGGACCTTAAAACACCTAAACACTTAAGTGAAACAAACAAACATATTGTATGATTTTACTTATATGAAATACCTGAAATAGATGCATAGATACAGAAAGTAGGTTAGAGGCTACCAGGGGTAGGGGGTAAGAAGGAATGAGGAATTTTTGTAAAAATGGCTATAGAATTTTGGTTTGGGGTGATGAAAAACTTTTGAAATTAGATAGTGGTGATGATTGCACCATGCTGTGAATGTAATTAAGACCACTAAAAGGTACACTCAAAAATGGTTACAGTGGAATATGTTATATGTATTTCATCACAATGTTTTTTACATAGAAATTTTTCCAAAGAAGATATATAAAAATGACACATGAAAAGAGACTCAACATCATTAGTCATCAGGGAAATAAAACCCATAGTGAGCACAGTGAGAGACACTTCACACCCACTAGGATGACTATAGTCAAAAAGATCGTAACACATGTCGGTGAGGCTGTAGAGCAATTGGAACCCGCATGCACTGCTGGTAGAAATGAAAATTGGCACAGCCACTTTGTTAACAGTTCCTCAAAAAATTAAAGAGTTACCATATAACCCAGCAATTCCAGTTTCTCCTAGGTATGTGTCCAAGAGAAATGAAAACAGATGTCCACACAAGAACTTGTACATGCTCGTTCATAGCAGCATTTTTCCTGATAGCCAAAAATGGAAACAAACCATATGTCCATTAACTGATAATAGACAAGCAAAAGTGGTATATCCATACAGTGGAATATTATTTCACAATAAAAAAGGGAGGAAATAACTGATACATGTTACGACATGACGAACCTTGAAACATTGTACTCAGTAAAAGAAACCAGTCACAAAAGATCACATATTGCATTTCGTGCCTATGAAATGTCCAAAATAAGCAAATCTGTAGAGACACAAAGTAGATTAGTGGCTACCCAGAGCAGAGGGAAATGGGAGTGACTGCTAAAGAGTATAGGGTTTCTATTTGGGATGACACAAATATTTTAAAATTGTATGTGGCAGTGGTTGCTCAACTCTGTGAATACACAAACAGCCATTGAATTTTACACTTTCAATAGGTGCATTATGCCATTTGAATTTTATTTCAATGAAGCTATTAGAAAAAGATCACAAGCCTAAAAATAATCTCCCCCAAAATTATTTCCCACAAATAACAAGTAAAATGAAGTTCAAATCATTAACCAATTTTTAACATTTTTTTTTTTTTACCAAATCAGAAGTTATATTTTGTTACAGATATCTCATTCAAATAATTATGATTCATACAATTTTAAAAATTTTCACCATGGTTTTTACATTTTGTAAGTGCATACATTTTAGTCAGTTTCACTGTGGAAAAGGCAATCTAAGAAATTTTTTATTATCTTTTAAGTGAGTCATCATTATTTTTGTAAATATCTTGACTAGGATTAATGCTTTAAGTTTATCTAATTTTTATATACTATGTATTTTTATATATCAAAAGGCACTACCTGATAAAAACTTGTATTGGAAATATTCAAATATATGCGAATGTAAAGAGAATAGTGTAAAGAGCCCCCATCTACTTATTACTCATCAATCAGCTCTAGAAATTATGTATCAATATTTTAGACAGATTTTTTTTAAATTTCCCGTGTTTTATTGCAAAATTTTCAAACATCAGAAGTTGAAAGATTGAACAGGGAATACCCATATACTCACCTCCTATACGCTCCATTAATGTTTGACTCTGCCTGCTTTAATATACACTGAGTGGCCAGATTATTATGACCACCTGACGTTTGTAGGCAAATTAGCTATAATTTCAAGCTGAAGTTGCTAGAGGGCCAGACCATTATAAATAGGGAAGCAAGTTGTTTAGCACGACAGTAGAAGTTATTTTTTTTCTGAAGATATGGGTAAACAACGCGATTTAACAGCCTTTGAACGTGGGGGGGGGGGGGTGGATATATATATATATATATCTCCATGTATCTGTACCTCTACTCATCCATCAATTCACTTACTTTTTTAAAAATTACAGTTGATATTCAATAGCATTTTATATTTGTTTCAAGTGTATTCATTTCCTTTTTAAGTTCATTCAAAGTAAGTTGTGAAAGAAGCAGTACATTTCCCCTTAAATACACTGTGTGCTTATCATTGACAAGAGTCCAACATTTGTTCACCATTCTCTGTCCTTTGAGGTAAAATTTATATACAATGAAATGCACAAATTTTAAGTGTGCATTCTATTAAATTTTTCAAAAGTATAGACCTAACAAGTTAAAGCCATTGTTTTAATGTCTTTTAAAAACATTTTAATTGCTCATAGACCTTCAAAATGATTTTTTATAGATTTATTATATTTTAGTGGGTTTTTTGGTAGAAATTTTTCTTTTTCATTAAATATCTGAGGGGCAGAAAAGGCAATTACATATTTGAGCCACCCATCCATATATATCCTGTGCCTTCTTAGTTTTTTTTAATGAAAACTGATTGGGCATTTTACTATAAACTTACGTATTAATGTATCTTTCATAATTAACACAATAGAAACTTTGCTCTACCAAAATCTATGT